ACGTGTGTGTGTGTATATACACGTGTACACGTGTGTGTGTGTATATACGCGTGTGTGTGTATATACACGTGTACGTGTGTGTGTGTATATACACGTGTGTGTGTGTGTGTATATACACGTGTGTGTGTATATATAGGTGGATACAATATAAATGAAATCTCTGTCTCTTGCTTTCTGTCTCTGCAGAAGGAGATCCGTAGCTCCTTGGTGTTGTCCATGTTGCAGCAGATGCTCGCTGAGGATAAGGCTGACATGGTCAGAGAGGCTGTGGTCAAGAGTCTGGGTATCATCATGGGTTACATAGATGATGCCGACAAGTACTCCCAGGTAGGCGTGTTGAGAGAGGAAAGCATGTCAGAACCTAATACAAAGTGTTCTACTTTCTTTTTCTGATAAAACGTGTTCTAACAATAATGTAAATACAAGTAAAATAGTGAAACAGCCTTAGGGGTCTGTTTGTGGGGTAAATCCTTATGCACATCAATGTGGGTGTCTTCCAGGGTTTTGAGCTGATGCTGCTCTCACTTGGGGACCCATCAGAGCGGGTGGTCAGTGCAGTCCACCAGGTCTTCATTCCTGCCTTTGCTGCCTGGACCACAGAGCTGGGCACCCTGCAAACTGCCCTCTTCCCTTCGCTGTTGGCACGTATAGAGAAACTACTTATGGTAAGTGCCTGTGTGCATGTAACTTCATGGATGGGCTTAAAACCTGAGAGCCTTTCTCACCCCCTCATGTTGAGGCAAAGACATACAAATGATTCACACAACACGGTTTGTTCAAGACATGTAATGTGCAGTAAACTAGAGGAAAACAAAATCTACAATAGCATTAAAGTTGTGTTGATGGTACAATACATGTATCTGTGCAGACACCTCATTTCCAAGCTACAGATATCTGCACCACACAAACAATAAATTGCACTTCAGCACTTTTTCTTTTCTCTTCTATACCTCCCTCTTTCTCTAGCAAGGAGAACATGGTCTGGATGAACACAAGCTACATGTGTTCCTGTCGGCCCTGCAGTCTCTCATCCCGCCTCTGTTTGCTGTGGTGCTGCAGAACGCACCCTTCACCAGCAGAGCCAAACTCAACGGAGATATAGCTGCAATAGAGGGTAGGAAAACTACACACACACACACACACACACACAGGTCAGATGTAGAAGTAGTAATTCTTCAAGCAGTTCATTTACATTCTGTTCCTGTGCCTTTGGTCTTGTAGTCACCCGCTTCCCAAGGCCAGCTTCTCCCCTCCAGGACGTGGCAACCATCATCGGCAGCAGAGAGATGCTGAGTGCCCTGCTGCTACTCTACGACTACCAGCTAGAGCATGAAGGAACCACTGGCTGGGACAGCCTGCTCTGGGTGGTCAACCAACTGTGAGAAATACACACACACACACACACACACACGTAAAGTCATATATGTATACAGACAGCTTTGCACATGGTATCACCAAAGCATACACAAACGGTCATCACCCTGATTTCCATTTGTCTGCTGTCTCCAGCCTTCCGCAGCTCATAGAGATCGTCGGTCGGATCAATGTGGCGTCATCAACCTGCGTGCACGAGTTCTCTCGCTTCTTCTGGAGGCTCTGTCGCACCTTCGGCAAGATTTTTACCAACACTAAGGTAAAACCACGTGACTCGTCAAAATTAAACATTCTCCTGACTGCACAAAAGACTGCTACCACAGCACTGTTTTATAAAGTTTGAGTAGTCCGTATGCTTTAGTGTGTCTTGAAAAAAATCCAGTGTCCTAGCATTCACGTGAGGTATCTCAAATATTTGTTTACGACACAGTAACCTGTGTCAGTCTTCTAGGGAATAATGAATGTGCTAATGAGCATCTGATTGAAAACACAGCTGTGGTGACTGTATTGAAGAGCAGATAGTGAACATGGTATTTATCAGGGGTTCACTATGAGTCACTGTAAGTCCAGTGGTTGTAACCGGTGGGTCTTTCTCTGATGAGAACTCTACTACTGTAAAATAGTGCTTACAAGTAAATGTGATTATATTTATGAATGTAGTGATGACATTTTGTTTCCTCATTCCTCCTCTTCAGGTGAAACCACAGTTCCAAGAGATCCTCCGACTATCTGAAGAGAATGTTGGTGAGTGCAGATTAAACACACACACAGATGTTTCTTTGTTGTAAGATTTTCTCAGCTCCCTCAAGAGAATGCTGGAAGGTGGAGTTCAGGCGTCGACACTGTTGATGTAAACAAGCTATTTGGAGTCAGTTATGGGTGTTGCCCTCTTTCTTTTCTTTCTTTTTTTTTGATTCCGGACATGTTTCTGTAGATATAAGAGGTGCTTGGTCTCAGTTGGCTGCCAAGTGATTTAGCTTTGGTATTGTGGCCATTTATGAAATGTGTTTTGTACTGGGTCCCAGTCTGTGTTTAGGTCATTGTGACCTTCCTTTGCAACTGTTCTTTTCAGTAGTTTTTTTTGAAAACCAAAACAATGTAATGCATGCTGTCGACACATTGTTACATAGACAGTCAGTTTACCAAATGCCTAGCACAATGTAATAGACTGTACCTGACCTCATCATGTCCTGTCATAATGAAATGTGCGTTGGTGTATTTTTTATTTCTCTGTTTAATTGGGCAAAAACAGATGATGAATAGCTGTAATAGAGAATGAGTAAAGTGTGAGTGTCAAACTTGATCCACAATCGTGTACATCTCTGTCCAGAAATGTCCATCTCTGGGATCTTCTTCCTTTTTCATTCTGGTGTTATTCCTCTTGTCAGATACTTCACCCGGGAACGATATTCTCACCAAAGCCACAGTCCCCATCTATGCCACTGGAGTGCTGACCTGTTATAACCAGGTAGGCAAATAGCAGACCGCAGCTGACTTGAAGTTGATTTATTGTAAGAGTCATACAGTACCTTGTGGTGTTTAAATCAGTCCACAGTCAATAAGTCAATGATCTTCTCCTATAGTCAGTTGACATGTGGAGAATTTTTTGCATTTTTTGTTTAGATTTTAGGTTCACAAAATGATGCAGCACTTGCAAAACACTGTGAACAACACATTCTCTATTTTGGTTTACCTTTCAACACTTCAACGAGACAAGTTCAGAATAGCCCGTTTCAACTTATGTTGAAAGTGTCAAAAGATCTTCGCTGTCCTAAAATACTCTTACTGATCTGTAGAACTTTGCACGCATGTACATATTAAAATGTAGACGTTAATATTTGTGTTGCCTACCTGATGTAACTGATAAACATTCTATAATTTCTGTAAAGGACGAGGATCGCAAGTTGTTAGTGGGTTTCCTGGAGGATGTTATGACAACCCTGTCTCTGTCCCATGCACCTCTCGACAGCCTGAAGGCCTCCTTTGTAGAGCTGGGGTGAGACACGCGCACACACGCGCACACACGCGCACACACGCGCACACACGCGCACACACGCGCACACACACGCACACACACGCACACACACGCACACACACGCACACAAATCAATCCCTACATTAGCAAAAGTGGACTATCATTCTACAGTATCCAAGTGTGGACCATTGTTTCTGCTCATTTGGAAAAAACTTAAATGAAAAAGAACAATTTTATTGTAAGGTCCCCTTTATAATATAATAATACTACACACATATGTTTATGATATTATCGCAAAAAAAACAATGCTGACCCTCGTAAAAGCTGGTTAATTCTAGTGGCTGATATGTTTATCTTTGTCAAAAATAAAACTGATTTCATGAAAACTATCACAGATGATTTCAAACAATGCTGGTTAAAATAGTAACCTGCTAGAGTACTGCAACTGCTCTTCAAATCTTCACAAAGTTTCACAATGTTCCAGGTAATGAAAATTACATCACATCGGCAGATTTACTATACCATGTGCAAAGCTGTCTGTATACATATATGACTTTACGTGTGTGTGTGTGTGTGTATTTCTCACAGTTGGTTGACCACCCAGAGCAGGCTGTCCCAGCCAGTGGTTCCTTCATGCCACAATATTGCCCAGTATTTATCTTATGCTCTCTTTCCAGTGCCAACCCAGTGTACCATGAATTGCTGCTCACTGTTCTGTGGTATGGGGTAGTCCATACCTCTGCACTGGTCCGGTGTACTGCAGCACGGATGTTTGAGGTAGAACACGCACGCACATAATCACAGATGTTTGGATTTTTGATCAGATATTGTTCACATAAATCATTTTTAGCAAGACATATGAACAAATGATAACTCTACTACCGAGCTTATACCAGTAGATTAAAACATGGCTGCACAGTTATGGTTAAAATGGTCATTCAGATTAGTTTGTTGCTTATCTGTAATTATCCTGTTAAAGCTTGTTTTTTTTTTCTATTATAATATACAAGTTAAATTAAATCATAATACTGTATTATTATGCTAAAATTGCAGTACTAAACACATTTTGCAGTCTTGCTTTATAGATACTATATATATGCTTACCTATTTGCTGTACATGTGCTAGCTCCGCTTGCTATTGCTGCTGTTTAACATGCATTTAATATCTAGCTACTCTGCCTTATGAGTGTGAATAAAGACTTCTGTGGCTTAGATGCACCCTGGTTCCATCTGTATACCTAGACCCTCCTAGAGTTAACAGGCCTGTCACTGTGCACTGGTCTCACTACGGACTACAAAAATATCTGCTGCATGTCAGAGAACGGCTAGAGTCAGCAACCTGAAATTAGAGTCGAAAGAGTTCAAGGTCTGTTCCTTTTTAATGTTGTTGGAAAGAATCATTTAATCAGAAATGTTTTCTCATAAATATTTTTTTTACTTCTTCCCTGTTTCATGTCTTATTGAAATATAATACTTCTATGTTTTAAGGAAGACGACTGTTTCCCTATTTTTGACCCTGGCAATGTTCCCAAGGCAAAAGTCGTGGCCCAAACAACCATAACAAATCACCTCTCCCGGTCCTTTGAGATCTGTGCACACTGTAGGTTAAAATGAGGATCTAGGTATAGCAGTAGATCCAGGCCTATGTTGATCTAAACTTGGGGGAGGAGGAGTGGTAGGCTGTATTCATGTCCCCCCCCCACCCCCGTCCCGTCCCGTCCCCCCGCCCCTGTTTTGTGAGGTACTTGCCCTTTCCCAACACACCCCACTGTCACCATTCCATAGTGACTAGCTGTCCACCATTGCCGAAACTGTGGGTTGATATTTGGACCTCTGCCACAGATCCCAGATCAGATTTGTTTACTTTCAACTGTTTTATCAATTTGAACTGAATTGAATGATAATCTGACCTGGAGTCTGTGGAAAGAGCCCACAGCTTTATGTTCGCCATACTGTAAAAGTATTTGTGCAGTTTAATTATGTTGGCTTTGCCATTCCTTCTGCATACATGCGTGTGCACGTGTGTGTGTGTGTGTGTGAGTGTGTGTGTGTGTGTGTGTGTGTGTGTGTGCGCGCGTGTGTGTGTGTGTGTGTGTGTACACACACTTGCTTGATATATGCAGTGCCGTTCCGTGCCTTGCAGCTATGGTTCTTTTCATTGTATATCACTTTCTTCCTATCTTTTTGTGTTTCTTTTTCCCTTCCCGTTTCTGTTTTGCTTCTTTTTTTTTTTTTTTTTTTTTTTTCTTTTTTTTTCCTCTCTATCTATTGGCGGTGTTGCTCGCTCTTGTCCCAATGCCCCGCCCACCTCTGTGACATCACGGCTGGTTCTGTCCAACCCGATCAGCTGCTGGTGAAGGGGGTGAATGAGACACTGGTAGCTCAGAGAGTGGTGCCGGCTCTCATCACACTGTCCTCCGACCCTGAAATGTAAGTGCAACAACAACAACAATAAACTGCGCCGCGTCTCTCCCCCCTTCTCTTTGCCGCCTGAGAACTATCACACCGAAACAAGTCTGTACCTGCCAGGAGCAAATCCAGCACATAAACAATTTCTCCAGACACTTTTGATGTCATATTTGATATAAATTTTACAATGAATACTCCTTTTCAATGGCATAGTTGTCGGTCGTTGTGTGGAGTCTCTCCTGTGTTGGTTAAGGCTGGGCCATGGGGTGGTTCTGTTTACACTAACACTCTGCATGTGCGCATCATCAATCTGCAACACTAACCCACGCCAGCTCTCATCACGTCATCAGTCTGCAACACTAACCAGTCTAGATGTGTGAGTGCACATTGTCTGCATGTGGCAATAGCACAGTTCCAGCATGCTCATCTGTAACCCCCCCCCCCCCCCCCCCCCCCCCCCCCCCCCCCCCATCTTCCTCCCCACCCTACTCCGTTTAAGCAGGGCCCCTCCTCCTGACCGATATGCCAGCTATTGGTTGGTTATCTACGCCCCGTCTTTCGCAGTTTTATCCTGTCCCTCTATTTTCCTCTCTCTCTCTCTATCTTCAATATCATCCCCTTCTGTCTTTACATCCTTCCTCCCACCCTCTATCTTTCCCTCCCTCCCCCCTGTCTCTGTCTCCTCCCACCCTGCCTCTCCCTCTCTCTCATCATGCTGTGTGGTGGGTTTGCAGTTGGTTCTCCGAGGCATGAGTGAAGCATTAGTAGATCGCCGTGCGGCTCCGGCCCTTATAACTCTGTGCAGTGGGCCTGAATTGTGAGTCAATCGACACAAGAAAACCTCTCTGTAAACTTTCTGATTTTGTGGGCTGCATCCTGACAGTGTGAAGCAGTGTCCTGCTAGAAATGTGTCTCGCTGAGCTTGAATGGGCACTAAAATAAAGCCCTTCTTGTGACCATGGGATGACAAAACCCTTCAGTAGCTTAAGTACACCAGGGATTCTATAACCACTACAAACACTCAGTGAAAGAGGATGTTAGAGCCTGAAGTAAATTGTCTCTCTTCCTGTATCCCGTCTTCAGGGATCCACTGAGAGCTGGAGCCACAATGATTGGCTAAATATTTAAAGTTGGATGAGTACTTAAAGCTCCCTCAGTTCAATCTTGTAGCACAAATGTGTCCTTTTCATTGCTGTATAAACATGCCATGCCTGGACAGTTATTCAAAGATTAGCTCTCTTACAAGCTGCCAGTGTGCATCCGGCTTACATGTTTGTGATTCGACAAGATGATGAAATTAGTGGCAACACTGTTGGAATGCAGCCCTTCTCCTCTCATTATTCTCTGTATTGAAATTCACATGCTAGTGGGTGCACTCTTGACCCAACTTGTAGATGTAACATATATTTATTTTGCAATCGTAACATTTTTGCCATAAAATCTTTCCCATAATCCTCCGAGTCCAACACGGCTCAAGTGTATCTCTTTCCAGCTCCCGCTGACAGTGGTATGATTATCTAACATCACCCTAACAGCACCCCATTAATCTCGCTTATCACAGTCCATTGTAATCATTGAGTATTTTCCGATATTAATATATTATTATTATGTTGTTTCATATTTTTCATGACTGCGCTGGGAATTGAATGCTGTGACCCCTTTATCTTTGGGATTGTTTTTATATTTTAGCAGCTAGCACAAGAATGATGTGATGAATATGTTCCTGATCGATCTAATCTAGTGTTCAATGTAGATGGGGGTGAATTATTACAAGCAACGTTTAGCAAGTTTCATGTTACAGAGGAAATCAATACTAGGAAGGTTTTTAAACATATTTAAAGAAAATAACTGATCTTAATAGATCATCGTTGAAACTGCCCAGTCAGATGTAAACCTACTAGATTTACAGCTTTTAGCTGTTAAACTGCCAATCTGCTCTGTGAGCAACCACCTCAGTCATCACTGTGGCTACTAGTGGTCATTACTATGTAATCATTATAGTTGGATAAACCTAAAACACGTGTAAACCAAAGTAATCACTCTTCTTTGTGGTTTAAGAATAAATGCAAACTGGGCACTTGATGGGCCATTGTACTAACAAATGTGCAGAGAAACATAATTCCAGTATATTTGACTCGGTTAGTAGCATTATTTGGAAAATCACAAAATAGCCAAAGGGAACCTGAATAGTGCCTCCCTACAAATGACATGACCTGAGGCCATCTACGTTGTGGTTAAAACCCAATGAGCTGATGATTCCAACATTTCTTTTTTATGATGCAAACTATTTGCACTTAAGATTTGATTCCCGCTAAAAAGCACATTGAGGAATTAGAGGATACCTAAAATAGTGATACCCGTGACTATGAACGGTCAAACCCTTGTCTTGCTCTCCTGCTGCTTTTAGCTCTGTGAGGATATCTACTATACCTGCCTTTGGTACCATCATGGAGACCGTCACACAAAAAGAGGTAGGAAACTAACTGCACACTTTCTAATGTGCTGACTATGAATTTAATTGAATAATAATATTTATAAAACATGTTTAAACATAGTTTCTGTGCATGTGTGTAGCTGCTGGAGCGTGTAAAAATGCAGCTGGCATCATTCCTGGAAGACCCTCAGTACCAAGATCAGCACTCGTTGCACATGGAGATCATCAGGACATTCGGAAGAGTTGGACCTAATGCAGAGCCACGCTTTAGAGATGAGTGTATGTCAAAGACACAAATGTATAGAAATCCCGAAAGCAAACAATGGCTATGTCGATGCTTCTGCTTTTCATGTGCACTAACTTTAAGTCTGTAAATGTCTCTAGTCGTGTTGCCACATCTTCACAAGCTGGCGCTGGCTAACAACAGCCAGACGGTGGAGAGCAAGAGGATCGACGTTGCCACCCAGCTGTTTGAGGCGTACAGCGCCCTCTCCTGCTGCTGTATCCTTCCAGAGGTCATACTAGATGGTCTGCGTAAGCTGGGCCATAGCTTGGATTTACTTGCATTTATACTCCTAATGACAGCTACATGCTGTACTTAAAAGCGTAACCGCCGGATATCTTGTGAAATTTAAAGGGAAAAATGTGCCATTCAGTTCACGCTTTCCCAACGATTTATGAGAAGTCTGTCAAGGTTGGCTTGTGTTCAGGGTTAGCTATCGTAACAGTGAGTCAGTGGGAAGGCCGTTAGAAATGCTAGCTGCACTGGTTAGATGTGCTCCTGGATGTGCTGGCCTAACTGTGCCGGCCTAACTGTGTGGTAAGTATCAGCTGTGCGGTTCAGTGTGTGTGTGTTGGCAGAGCCTGCCTGTAATTTGGCAGGAGGAGAAAGGGAAAATAAGCTGCCTCCATTTCGGGGCTGGAGTAATTACAGGGTTGGTTAAGCAAAGGAAAGGATGAGAGAGGGAGAAAGAACGTGAGATGAGGGAAGGGCTGCGCATCAACTCCAATTGTTGGTAACAGTTCCCAGGATAGGACTCACGGTTACTTTACCTCTGCTCTGTCTCTGTCTCCTTTCTCTTCTGGGATTGTTTCCTCTCTTACTATTTCCCCCTTTCACACTTTTTTTTCCTTCTCTCTACTCTACTCTTCTGTCAACCACACCCTATACACACACACACACAGAGTGCAGCTGGTCTGAGGTTCATTCCTGTGGATCTTTGTCAGGCTGTTATTGTGCAGTGCAGTAGTGTCCACAAGGTATAGCCCTAAACCTCAGAGGCTTTACCTCCCACTGCACTTCTTTCTCGTGTAATCAGTGTGACAGCTCTGAAATTGTACATTCCCATCTCTAAAAATATAAATGTGTTCACTCTGTGTGCCATATAGCTACACTGGCAATGACAGGTGGCGTAACGCATACAATCCTGGACAAAGTAGTATTGTGCTTAAATCTTAGGTTTGTGTCAGCATAATGTGGTATAGCAATGCATATATTTGTACAGTCAAAGGAAAACATTTTTAAAAAGTGCTTTTTATTCTCTTGACATTTTGAATAATCCTAAGTAAACTCCATACATCTGGTAATGCCTGGAAGCACTATCCAAATAGTATTTGTAACTTCTTGGCTTTGAAAACACTACCTTTTTAAATCTCTGTACATGTAGTGAGAAAAACAAGAAAGTCTGGATCGATAAGCTTCACGTTTTGCTGTCCTTTTTTTTTTTTTTTTTTTTTTTTTTTTTTTTTTTTTTTTTTTTCTTTTATTCTTTCATTCCCAGATTACTCAATTTTAAAGTGAACACCCACATTTCTGAAACATGCATGGGAGCCCAGAGAGTGAAAAGTTAGCAATGTGATTCCTGCTGTATGAATAGTAATGCACTCATTCACGGTGCTGCAAGGTTCCAGTCCTTAACTTCCTGTGCAGTCATTTCTGAGGAGGTGATGGTCAACCACTTCCTGCCCGGCCTCAGGTGTCTCCGCGCTGACATGGAGCAGCTCTCTCCTGAGCACGAGGTCAGGAGGCGCTCCCAGGGGGGGGGGGTGTCATACACATATTCAGACACTGACTCTTACTCTCACAATGCACACATGTATTTCAAATCTCGTCTCGCATACTCACCCACTGATGGACCAGAGATTCGCCTTCTTTCTGTGTGTTTTTCTCAGAAGATCTCGCATAATATTGGTGAAGACAGACAGTCTGACTCTTCACCTCTTTCTCAGACACACACACGTCTGCCATTTTTATTTGTGTCTCAGAATCTCAAGCGTACCATTTCATGTGAGCATTTTCCCAAGGTGACTAATGATCAGCTGATTTTTTATTTTTTTCCCCTCTGTACACATCCGCTCCGTCTGTCAGGTCTGCATACCAAAATTCCAAGACAGGAATTATTTTCTAAAGTGGAACTTTAGAAACTTTTTATTCAGTGATGTTGGAACATAATTAGACTATACACCACCTGCCTTGTACCACTCCAGTGGTTAAAAGCATGCTGTTTGCAAGATGGCATTGCAAAAATACGTCTTTGATGAAATCATTCAGTCTTGTTTTATGACAAAGACCTCCTTGTAAAGGTAACATTTCATCCGTCTCTGTCGTATCCTCCACAGGTTATTCTGAGTTCCATGATCAAAGAGTGTGAAATCAAGGTGGAAAACAGAGGAATGGCTGACGCACAAGGGTGAGAACCAACAAACAGTCCCATTCACACTATCACTTCTTCGGAAATTATCTGCAAAACATTTGATTTTATTGCATGAGAGGCAGCGACAGCAACAAGTTATGGCTATAAAGTGGTAATTAAAAGGAATTTGAAGGGGGAAGAAGTAGTCCTACTGTGAGGGGAGGGGTCACTTAATAGTGTTGGAGCGGGGCCTGTATTGCTGGTTTATTCCCCAGCGGAGAGGAGAACATTTAAGAGTGTTGAACCACACTCATTATGTGGGTATCTTCACACAGAGAGAGAGAGAGAGAGAGAGAGAGAGAGGGAGAGCAGAAAAGTACAAGGAGTTGTTTGGGTAAAGCTAAGAGAGCCGGGAAACTGGCCAAACTGTGGGTGTCTTTTTAAATGCTGTTTCACCCCATGTTGTTAACATGTGTTCGGGGCTCATTAAGAAGAGCAGTGTGCATATATGGATGAAAGAATCATGTACTTGTCTGCTCGTCTATGTGCACACATGCACAGTTTTGGGTGTGTTCCCACAAAACCCTCTGAGGTTAAAATCTCTTATGTCTGTGCCGAGAGATTTTTGTTCCTCTTTCATTTTGCTCTTACAAGTCTTTCTTCGACTTCTAATGCCACAGTTGATCATTTGGATTCTTGCTTTTTTCAGCTTGTGTCTTTTAAGTAGTTTTAAACTTGTCCCGCTCCCCATTTACTTCCTGGTATGGAATTGCTGATACTTTGTGGCTGTCACAGCTCAGTGAGCATTCTGTTGAAAATACTTTTTGAAGAGGCGTCGCATAGTTTTGGTGAAATATTTCACATGCTTATGCACATTTCTTCCAAAAGGTATATGAAATTCCTTTAATTTCCTATAAATAATGTATGTAGAACAAGTAAAGTGACAACAGTAAACAGTTTGCAGGGAAGTTTCATCTGGAAGTTATGAGATGGTGTTCACCAGTCAACGGACTCCCTAAATCCATTTACTTTAGTTTGGTGTTGGTGTTATGGTGTTTGCCAAGCTGCTGCATTGCTCAACAGCAGGGCAGAGTGTTGTAACTGCTCACATGTATCAGTCTGAATCCCAGATAACTCAAAAGGGGAACTTATGGAGCCGTTAGACTATAAAAATCAGGAGGGGCTGTATTGCAAACAGCATTTCACGTTTAAAAGTAAAGGTTGTTCAGTCCTTATTGTGACGGCCTCAGGGTTGGCTCCGTCTTGTCCAAGCTTGTCAACAATATATGTTAATAAAAGCAGAGCTAACTTTGTTGCTTCATCATGGCCAAATTCAACCTGTACGCCCTTTCTCTCTCCCCCCCCCCCATAGCTCCATGTCCATCGCCTCCAGTTTGGTGGGTGAAGATGCCAAGACCAAGTTCCTCAGCAAGATGGGTCAGCTAACCACCTCTGGCGCCATGCTGGCCAACGTCTTCCAGAGAAAGAAGTGATCGACGACTGATCGACAACTGCAACTAACTGACAATCCCCCTGCTGTCTTTTGGGAGCATTTCATTCTACTGGGAAAAAGCATCGGTTCAGCTTAAAGTAGAACAAAACCCATGTGTAGAGTTTATTCAGTTTCAAGATATGAAGGTTTGCTGTAAGTTCTGTTGATTTCAAATCTCCAGTGCAGCAGGACTCCATGCTCTTTTAAGGTGAAGGTTTCCCCCCTCTGCTCATTCTCCTCTCCTTAATCCTCAGTCATGACAAAAGCACTGTCGATGACGAGGGATTTGCTTTTATGGATGTTGTCAACATTGTCATTTCAGAAAGAGGGGAGAGAGAGAGGAAGACACTGAGAGCAGTGTTGAGATGCACCCAAAGTGGTGACAAAGGACTTGTTTCTCGGGCGTTTCTGGACTTCATAGTATCACAGGATTTAATTTGATTTCAGTGCAGTACTTCTTGTGTCGGAAGAGCTTCACTCGTCACTAGGAAACAAAACTCTGAGCACGGCCTGCTGGATTTCATGTAGAATTTCAAACCCCATCTTGGAGCAGAGAGTTGTACGATAGATGCATTAACATGCATTTATGATAGAATAATTACTAAAAGACGACAAAGCGGCTCTGTTAATAATGCCTTGTACAGTGTGTCTGTACGGCTCTCAGAAGTATTGCATACTTGAAGCTATGAAAAAAAAAAAAAAGTCTTGCCTTTGTTTCTTTAAAGTCTGTCACTGGTTTTTGTTTTGACAGCTTGTATTTTATAACTTATTTATGTCTTAATGAAAAAGAAAAAAAACTATTACAACTTCCAAAGAAATTTGCACTTCACTTTCCTATTTTCTATTTTGTTCTTTGATATTGTCTATATATAATTTGTTTTAATTCAGAGTCTTACACATGATAAACACTATCACTACTGTTGATGGATTTCTTTTTTGTTTATCCGTTTTGGCAATGTGAAGTCGAAGAGAACACTGCTCATAATTATGCCCTCTGTCCGTTGCATCTTGTCTCTGTGTTGCAGTGTCTCAGATAATTGTACTTTTTTTTTTTTTTTTTTCTAAAGTGGGTATTTGGTTCTATTTTCGTTGTTCTTTTTCAATATGCTCTACGAGAAATGATAACTAACTGTATCATACACTGAACTGGAGAGGATGGTACTCATTATGTATATTTGAAATCGGTGTCATGGTATAATAAAAGATGGACATGAGTTGTGTACTTAAATATACCTCTGGAGGCTTCACTGAATGTCAGCATGCTTTTACACTTCTTGGTGTCCCAAGTTTTGATTATGGCCCATGGCTCCAAATGTCGACAGGTGTTGGGGGGCCGTAAAACAAAGTCATTTCACAGACAAACACTCCTGCTGTCCCTGCCCCTCACATCCAACCCTTTGATGTGGTCTATTGTCTTCTTAGTACAACAAACCAAAGTCCATCTTACGGGACATTCCCAGCAACTTACTGCAAATAGGAGCAGAAGTAAAAGCTCAGATCTGCCGTCAAGATTGCACTATCTCTCAATAACGTGGTTAACTTTGACCTACATCATCAAAAACATACCATTGATCTCCGTCAAAGACGTGGGGTCCTCAGAAGGTCGCCAGTGGAATTCAACAGGACGATTAAAACACAATCCATCTTTTAAAGAAATGACGTTAAGAAGCAGAAAATGTGGTTGCAATTTCAATGAAATTTTCGATAAAGGACATGTTTTGGACACTTCTGATTGACATGTAGTGGAACGCAGTACATTTATAAATGTTGGAAATAGAAATGGGTCAAGCAGGGTATTGTGGAGCAGGCACTCATTTAGTGATTGAACATTAGGTGAGGGAGTGAGCACCTCTTGATAAAGAACAGAATTTGCATATTCAGCTAATATTCAACCACCATCACTGATAACGTGCCAGTTGGACAAATAATCAATATACGACGGGGCGGAGCTAGAGGGCATGGTAGCATTGTGTGTGTGTGCGCTCCCATTTCTCTGTGTGCATGCCTGTGTATCTGTGTCTGCAGATATGTGTGTGTGTGGAGAGATACCTGATGTGTGATTTGAATTTCTAGTGAACAGCCTTGTTCTTTGTGTCAAAACAATCCTCTGCTTGTCAAGAGCCTTTGCTTGGCTTTATCAGCGTGGGTTTGTGTTGCCATGCAAATATGTGTGTTTCTGTATGTGCATGTCATGCAAGTTCTCCTGGTGTGGAAATGGCAAAAGCAGGCAGCTTACTCACATCGGTGACTCACAGATCACATCTGTTTCCAAAGCAAGCAGATCCAACCCTGAACCCACCGGAACACGGTGGCTAAGCCTTAATGTTAATGTTCCACTCGGTTCTGTGTGGATGTGAGGGCCACATGCATGTTTTTTAGCCCTGTGTGCTTCTCAGTGTGTTCAAGGGAGACGGTGCCGAACCCTTGAAGCTTCCTCCAAAATCATGGTACCAAAACAGGCTGCAGCTGCTTTCTTCTATGGAACAAGTGTGTCTTACTTCAATGGAAACCATTCAACGGCCCATGGCGTGCGTTCATTTTTGTGTGTATGACCTGTCTGGAATATGCATGGACTTTGACTTGTACGTAAGTGATGCTAAGCAACACAGCCTACATACTTACAGACACATGCAGAGCTGCACAGGCTGGGCTCTGACCCAGGTCATCTGAAGTGTGATGCTTGTAAACCAGCATGGTGTCTGCCTGTAGTGGATCTACATTTTTATACATAAAAACAACCTTAATTGTAACTTCTATGTTTGAAGTGCAGCCTAACAGCGACTTCTCCATGTTTTCAGTTCAGTTTTGATGTTGGGGGTTGACTTTGGTGTGAATGTTTGTGGGGTGCGTTCAGAGTCGAGCTGAGGTTTCTGATTGCTATGAGAGTCAAATCTGGCTCTTAATTGCTACCGCTGCAGAGCTGCAGAGGCTCCACCACAAAACAGCTTCTCTCAGCATGTTTTTACAGGAAGAGGGGGAGAGAGAGGACAGAGCCCTTTGCCTCCACTGGCTCAGCCCAAAACCCTCATTATTCTTCCTCTTTCTCCCTCTATTGAACTTCTTATGAGTTCAAGTTTTTGTCTATCAACACACCTCAATTTGACATGAGTTATTGGTAATTTTTAGTCATAATTTGTGCTTATTGTTATGAAAGCTTCTGGAATATCACTAAATGCAGCGAGTACTAAATGCAACGAGTACTTTAAAACAGACACTTTTGTCTCTTTTTCTTCTATTCTCTCTTCAGCTTCATAACTCTTATCAAGTAATATAGATTGCTTCATTTCTTTTCATCTCTTTTTGTTGTTGTTCACCTCTCATGCCGACCAACCCTGTTTTATCCATTCAGGGTCTTCGCATGCAATTTCATATTTGCATAACTGTCAACTTGAAGAGAACATTTTCTCCACTCTCTCAAACCTCCCTTTTTCACTTGCCAAGGTAGGCTGGGTCTAATCTGCCATGCAAATTCACTGCTTGTTCTCTCTTTCAGCCCTGGGGGCGGTCACAGTGCTTTAAAATGAATGTCTTTTTGAGACTGCAGAAATGTACATGACTGTTCCAGGACCCAAGCTGCCATAACTATGCTGCCCACTTTCCTCTAGAATGACCACATGCTAACGCTCCAGTGTGTGTGGTCATCTGTATTCATCTCTGCCGTGAGGTCATAACATAACTTGTTTGGCCAATCGCATGAGAAGTGCTACTTGAGAAATAAATAAGTCATGCAGGCTGTGAGACAGCTAAACAAGTTGGTCATCACTGACAGTATTTCTAATGCCAGTGTTTGTGGGTTCAATGATAATCTCATGCATCATCGAGAACTATCAGGCACACTAACTGTCACATATGCATTCATTCAGAGGATCAGATCTGTGCTTAGAGGTGTAGGAGAGAAGAGTGGGAGTGAACCTTTTTTTTTTTTGACATGCAGTATGGCAACGTGGGAGGAGTTCCCTCCCTCCCTCAGTCAGTAAGTCAGTTTTTACAAGCTGTTGCATGCAGCTTACTCCACAACGCGTGGGTGACAGCAGAAGGATGAGAAGAAAGGTGGTAACTGCAGCTGCCTAATGAATGAAGGCGCAATAATGCCCTATGAGACGGTGTGGAGGTCCCGCGCGCAAGAAAAGGTGATTTCCTGTGAGTTAATCTGAAGAAGAAGAAGAAGAAGAGTCGTCATCTTGGCTGAGAAGTTTGCCTCAGAAGTTGTCTCAATTAATAACCAGCAGAGATGAGATCGAACATGTCTGCAAGTTGGATAGTCCGAGGCTGGATAACGTGCGTCCTCGTCGCCTTTTACGCACAGGTAAAAACACACTTCTTGTATTAAATATACGGTTTAAAGTTACCTGATGACAAAATGACGGCATGCATTTAATAGTCAAGACAGTTGATAATTACTTTATTGTATACTCTGTATCCTATGCACTGCGTTTTAGGAGATGGAAATTTACTTAATTCTGAAAAGCATGATGAGTAGATGGAGAAGGCGGTATGTAACAGTAAACCAGAATATGTGTCATCAGATCATATGTCGTATGAACTGGTCAAAGGGATAAAGAGGGGGGTTTGAATTTTTTACACTGACTGGAAACGGTTGTTTTTGGGTTGAGTCCACCTCGTCTGTTCTGACCGCAAAAAAACTGGATGATCTTGTCCCTCTACCAAGTATTATCTCGCGCTGGCCAAATGGCTCATCAAGAACCTATTTAGCTCTGACAGAGCAGAGACTTCCAATGTGAGAAGCAGAGACAATTCGTCCTACAGCGATCCAGAAGGGTTTGCCACTGAAACAAAAAAATATTCCTATGTTTCGCAGTCACTGTCGCCATAATGATATAGGCAGTTTACTTTAACACATCATGCAAATTACAATTGTCTTGTTTATATTGTATCAGAAACTTTCGCTGTATCTTGACCTGCGTAATGCCTTAGTTTATCAACTACCACAGTTTAATTTGAGTAAAAGAAAAAGTGAATGGCATGTCGTTGTCCATGTTGTTGTTTTGTCCAAGCAGCTAACTCTGGCCAGGTGGAAGTAGTTTATAAAATGTGGTCGCAGTGGTGGGACTGCTGGGCACCAGCGATCTGCCACTGCCTGTTTGCCTGTTTGCCTGTGTTACCGTAAACCAGCATCGTTATGACTTTGACTGGAACAGGCGCTCTTTTTCTTCTCTGCTTCACCGAAATGTGTCGCAAGAGATAGCGCTACAAGCAGGGCACTGCATCTTGTCCACACAGAGATCCAGAGAGGCAATATCGCAGAAGAAAGATGTTTATCGAATTCAAAGTGCAATTTCTTCAAATAGTGGCAACAAGAGCATAACAGCTGGAAAAACGAGTCAGTGTGTGGAAGGGAAGAAATGTTTTTCATCTGCGTTTTAAGGTGACACTGCAAACCTTTGGCTTTGGTTTGTTCTTACCATGGTTTTGCCATTACTGACTCACAGTATCCCCAAAGAATTCCCCTTCATTTTCTTGGTTTTCAACCACTTCATCCAGTCTATTCCAAATCCATTTCAAACTGTCTGTGTAACATTGAGCAATACAAGATTACTTCAAGATGTCGAGAGCTTAAAAGTCAATATATTATGAATAAACTGAGCTTTGGTGGATTCATTTATTTGCCTACCCATGGCTCCTGTACTTTTCTTTGTTGGCAAGTCATGCATCTGAGCATCTTTCATTCAATTATCCATCAGCAATCTCTCACTGCCTCTTTCCCAACTCCCCACATCTAATATTCAACCAGCAACCCTTCTTCATTGTAATCATTTAATCCATCAAGAGCTTTTTTTTCCTAACCCCCCCTGTAGCTCCATCCATCCATCCATCCATCCACCGTCACATCAGTAATCATGCTTGAGCAATAACACAACATTGCCTCAGGCCTGCAGATCCAAACTTGATTTAACTATACAAACAACAGAGGCATCCAATTGATAACAAAAGCATGCAGTATTGTGTGACAATAGAGCATTGTGTGGAGACATTATTAGATCAGAATAGTTCTTCCTTGGACATTGAGCTGTCTTTTGTTGTGTCACTTGATACCAAGCTTTTATTGAAAATCACAGCCAGTTTTTAAGATAAGATGATGCAAACAGTGTTTGATTATTACTTGAGTAATAACTCGCTATGTCTTTTAGATGCTCATACATGGTGAAAGTTTTGAGATCCTTTTTAAATATCCTGATTTTGCAGTTGGCAATTCAAAGGATTTGTTTCGATGCCTTTTTAAAGAATTAATCACAAGTGCACACATTGTACAAATATTAAATTGTGTATTATGCTTTCACACCACCTTATCAGGTGGTATTGGATAAAGATACTGGATAAAGATAAGTATCTTGGATCGACGCCAACGGCTGCCGTGGCCGTTATGCAAATTCTCTTGTATTCTGACTGCAAATGGAATGCACTCTGCATCACACTCCTGTTTGATAGATCACACAAATGCTGGGATAATATGCTAACATGGTATTACCCCACTGACTATTTCCCCTTTTACCTCCCTCATCTCTTTCTTCACACTTTCTGTTAGACCCACACAACACACGTGTATATTTGAATCCCTACAGCAGATGAAGTTAGCTTTGAGGTTGGATATTCTATCTTGACAGTCATCATAACCTATAATCATAAAGGGTGGATCAGCTCTTTTCCTCTTACATATACTGTATATTTAGTGAGTAGAAACATACTGCCTCGCATAACTGACACCCAATATTTAGATGTGGCGGTAACAATTCCCAGCATTCTTTTGACTTCCTGTGCTCTGTGTCCCAGTTGTACGGATTGACCACCACTGGCTTTTGTGTCTCCACATCTCTGTCTATCTATCCATCCACCTATCTACAGTACATGAACGTCTTAGCATGGGAAGCTTTCCTACTTCTGTCACTTCTGCCTGCTGCAGCACATGGTGCTAGTTAGTGCTGTGGTCTGAGCTGTGAGCGCTGTGCATCATGATCCCTCTGGTTAGATTCTAAAACAAAGACCGGCTGATGTGTGAGAGGCATAATGGAGATAATTAAATGCTTCAGTGTTGTTGGTGTGCTGTTGAAGCCTGGGGCCGGACAGACAGACACTGAGACTAAACAGAGTTTAATGTGGAGGTGTGAGAAAGAGAGGGAAAGAGGAGGACAGGGAGTGAAAGACAATGTTAGAGTTAGATCACCTTATTTTCCTATCTAATCTAATATTATTGTGCCTGTTAAGATTTTAACATGAAACTATTTTTTTCTAAAGTAAGAATGTCATTATTTTAAGAAGGTTGACATTTGAGTTACAGTCAGACAGAGGCACTGTTGGAAAGAAAAGATAGCCATTGATGATGAGTATGATGACAGACTGACTTGTGAAGGTCGCCAAAGAGCAGGAGGATGAGGTTTATCACATTTCACTTAACTGTACCTCTACAGCACCAGCATTTCTTTAGAGTACAAATTACAGAATGAATGACTGAATTAGTGTATCATTTCATGGGGAAAAGAAGCTTTCAGAAGGGCTGAGTGAGGAAAAAGTAGAAGGTTGATCCCAGGTCAAGTGCAGTCAGGCCTATAGTTTGTATTTCTTTTACATTTATATATAGACACTGTGGCTTTGGCATAGTTTCTGTCATAACAGCCAGATTCTCTAATTCAGCAATGTGGCTAGGAGTTCACCGGCCCCTAATTTAGGTTGGCTGGAGCATGTGTACAATATATGTGAGAGCCTGCACGGCTTATCTTTGTGGCCTTATTTTATCAGAGTTCCCATTTATTGTTTAAAACATACACAGATGTTTCACTGTTGACTTCCATGTTCCTTGCAACTAAAGCTCTAGCACTTCTTAGTAATGACTTGGCATTATATCAAGTTAGAATAGAATGAACTGCTGCTTTGAGATTTGTTTCTATTCTCACCTTTTACTTAATGGGCAATTGACCAATCCTGCCAAAAAAACAGGGTGATTGTCTTTTAACAGCTCACTAGTGGGGATCAGGAGAATATCTGCAGCCAAGTGTTTTTTTTTAAAATTTCTAGCAGACTGGAGTGGATTGCATTAAGTTCCAGTTGGTTCTCCTTGTGTGACTGCTTGCTATTGGGGTTTGGTTTGCTGGTTTGGAGGGTGTGCTGTGCTGTGGTCAGGTGCTTCTGAGAGGATGGAAAGAATTCCTGGGCATGTCTTGGACTTGGAGATATTTAACCATCCTCTTCCTCTCATTACTCACCGCCATCTGAAAATATCACTGTGGATTTGAAAGATGAACTGCGGAAGGAGAAGGATTGCAATAGAAAAGTGTGGCATGCATTTAGGAAAAAAAGCACTGAAGAAAGATCTATATTCATGATATAATTTGGTCATCTCCTGTAAATATATATATATATACATATATTCTATAAATATGTGTTGTTAAAGGATATACAACTATTTTGTTTCCTGTCACGTATAAATCTAAACTTGCTCAAAATAACAGAAAACTAATTTTATGTCCTGATTCTTTTAGAACGCTGTCTCCAAATCTCTCCAGTGTAACGAAACACATTATTTAAGAGGCTCCAGATGCTGCAAGAAGTGTGAACCAGGTAATGGCACACACACACACACACACACACAGGAAAACACACATACAAGAAAGTAGAGTATGCATCTTGCAAAGCTGGTTTACACGACGGAAGCATCATACAATAAAAATAGATTTCCATTCACAAAGATCCTAAATCAAAAGAGGAAGAATGTTTTAAAAAAGGAACATCTCGGCTAAAAATGGCTCAGACGTACACGTGTTTTCAGAACCACACACATACACACAAATTGCATTGACATTTGGTCCACTACTAGTACCCATTCATTTTAAGAGGAAAGGGGCTCTAATTTTGGCAATTTCATTCTTCTTTTCTCTTCTTCCATTAGGTTACTAATGGTAACTCCCTGTCTTTCTTCCTCCGACTGTCTCTTTCTTACTGACTTTTTTTTTCTTCTTTTTGGTTAGGCTTCCGTGTGTTTTCCGACTGCACCCATTCCCAACAGACTATATGTATTAAATGTAATCGGGGTGAATACCAGCCTGGCTGGACTGAAAACATGCGCTGTCTTCAGCAGAAGCTCTGTGACCAAGGTCAGTACCAGCAGTTTGGATAAAACATTAAAAAGGTTTGAGCTACTTATGCCTTAACAACACAAATGTTAGAATATGAGGTTATAGTTTATAAATATGTTGTCCACTCCTGTTTACTTACATTGGAGAGCAAAATCCAAACACCTTTTAATCTAAAGCTCTCCAGTATAACAGAGCCTCAAAGATTACCACAAGGTTAACGCAACTCCTCTGATACTGTCTCGGTTTTATAAAGTATTTAGTTATTGTAGTACTATTGTCTTGATTTCAGGGTTAGAAACTGTTCTGATCACCACACAAAATATATTTTGATGAACTCCAGCAGTGTCTCTTAGGCTGTAAATGTAAAATTACCAATTTGTGTCATCATTCTTTGTAACTAATTCCAAACTACACAGATAGATAGATCAGCCTGCGGAGTGGAGTTTTAGATGTAACACACATGACCATTCCTTTCGAGGATTTGGACCTACCTTTGCACTAATATACTCTTACCGTTGACTACAAGGTAAGGGTTTTATGGAGAGGCCTGAAAACCCTGTGGCAGAGGAGCCGTGTCGCTGCCTTTCCGGCCTCCAATGCTACCCCATCAACTGTGAGTACTGTGAGAAGATACCCAACTGCAGTGCTGGATATGGACTCGAGTTGGACCTCGGTAAGACACATGAATACAAAAGACAGCAGCTAAGAGTGTCACTTAGAGAGCTATGCTAAAATATGTTATTAATTCCAGAGTCTACTAATGGAAGGAAGACATGTGCTGCATGTAAGAAAGGCTTCTTCTCTGCTGACAAAAGTGGCGAACAATGCAAACAATGGACTAAGTGAGTGTTTAAATATGCACACACACACTCGCACACAAACAAACACAGGTTTTAGCCTGGAATCATGAAGGGAAAATGCAATTGGGTAGTTGATAGTCGTATGCCTCACCACCAACCAGCTGTTATGAGTAACACTCACACACCACTTCCCCTGAAACCCTGGATCAGATACCAGCTTCCACTGCCGGCCGGATCCGTAATGATGATGAGGATGAGGATGGAGAGAGGGAGGAAGTATTTTGTTTTTCTCTCCATCTGTTCCTTTTTCTGTCCTGCGTCATTGCAGATTTATCCGTAAAGGCTTCCAGGTTGGCGTGTAAAAATGTAGAGGGGAAAGAAAAAAAAAACAACAAGTAAATCCAGTTGGTCAAACATTCCCCCTGACTCTGTGTTTTTGTGATTTAACCCTCTCCTCTAGTTGTAAGGCTGAGGACAGGAGTGAAACACAGCCAGGCAGTGCTCAGGCTGATGCAGTGTGTGGACCACCTGTCTCTGGTAAGACAGGGAAGACATTGACACAATCACTGCAGACTGTCACTGTACAGAGCCAATGCAATGCATATTCAACCACTCAAAATAAAGAAATGCTTTCATAGGGCTAATGTAATCTCTGCTACTTGGAAGTATAAGAGGAAAAAGTGTGTGATTTATTTATCTCTTTGATAGATATTTATGACTTTTTGTATCTTTGGCAGACGTTATGTAGAGCAGAAAAGCGAGCTCTGAACTCCTCTTTCTTGCAGGTGCAGCACGCTCCTGGGTTATAGTTCTCGTGCTGTCAGTCATCACTGTTCTCTGTCTCCTCATCCTGCTCCTCTTCTGCTACAAGGACAAACTGAAGTTACTCTCTGGTAAGTTACAGTCATATTAATCTCGAAGTTCATCTCTAGCTTTGATGTTTCATTATTGATATTTACATGAATTTATGTTTTTAAGGCGTCCTACATTGTAGACATTGGTTCAAAACAGACATTCATTTACATACTGAAGGAGTGAGTGAAAGAGACTATCTGACGTCTGATCACATTAAGAATACATTGTAGTACATAAAACACTTTTTTGTTTTTGTTTTACCTGCTATTTGAACTGGATCCAAAAGTATCATGTAAGGTGCTAATTAACCTCTTTGCAGTACATCTTCACCAGAAATTATTATGATTTCTGCCACTGCATTTTATTCAGTATTAAGGTCCAATATGTTGTTTCTTTGTCTAGTAAATCTGCGATCCTGTGTCCAGAATCTAAAGAGGACTAGGATACAACAGGTAAAGTGGAGTTTCAGTTAAAAAGCTATGGAAATACACTGAAGCCAAAGTTATTGCAAGTAATCCCACCTGCTTATTCGATTGTTTATGATAGATATTATCAAATGAAACAATTAAGAACAAATACAGCTCTTATGTCTGTTACTACATGGTGAAGGCAGGGTTTTGGCAATCACATGTGTCTTACTACTCATGCACAACATAACTAACAATGCCCCTTTCTTTGTTGCTGCTGTTCTAGGAGACCTTGGCCCCTCTTTACCACAGTGGAGGAGGATTAGGAGGTGGCCCCAAGTATACACCATGTGAGACGACCAAACTCGTCTGCCAAGCCCCCCACAGCCCCTCTGATGAGCACCCATGCACCTTTCCCACATCCATTCCCGATGTCAAGGTCTCACTGCCCTTCACGGGGGAAAGGACAAAGGAAGAAGGGACCAAGGGGAAGACGGTGATGGAGGATCAGAGTGAAGGGTCTGGAGAACCTGAGGAGGTGTCAGAAGAAGAGGAGGTTGTGAGTGTGTCACCTCTTTTGGCAGGTTCTTGTGTGTGTCTCATTCCTGTCCGCGAGCCATTGGAAGTAGGGGAGAATGAGGACTGTAGCCAGGCTGTCAGCCCCGGGACTCCAGGAACCTGCTCGTGCGGAGGGCTGGATGGAGATGAGAGTGGGAAAGAAGATAAAAGTGGGAGTGGGAGGGCAGACAGTAATGGAGCAAATGGTGATCGAAATGCAGAAAAGATAGTTGTGTCCAAGAGTGAGACAGGTGCTGCATCTCTTGTCCCGCTTTCTCCTCCACTCCTCCACATCTCCTCCATCATCCCTCCATCAAGTCCACTTCCTGAACTCTGCCTGCCGTTGTGTCAAGCTCAGATGAGACCACAGTTCAAGCCTCACCTGACTGACAGGTCACCGGTAAAGCAGGAGGAATTGTACAGACTGGCAAGCACAGACTCCACCTCGACAGAGAACAATACAACCTCTGCGATGACCTCGGTCAGCCCCTTGATGACTTCTTCATCTGTTGGAGATCTCTACCTGGACAAGCCCCCCTCGAGCCCGGAGCAAGGCCAAGGACTTTCCTGGGGGGATAGCAAGGGAATCAAACTCTCTTCTGGAGAGTTAGATCTTGAGTGTTCCCCTGAGAGCCTCCATAGCCAGCTGACTGAACCAACTCTTACCTCAGGTGGGTAAAAATGTAACATGCCATAAAAAAGTCATAGTATAGTATGCCATCAAAGGGTATTAGTGTAGTATGTCTTAATAAGACATAGCAAGTCATAGTATAGTATGTCATAAGAAAATTATGAAAAGTCTTAGTATAGTATATTACAAAGTATGTATGCCATAAAAAAGTATCACTATATTATGTTACAGAAAAAGTCATAGTATGTAGTTAAAAAGTGATAAGTCATTATATAAAATGCCATAAAAAACTCATAGTATTGTAGAAAAAATGGTCATAGTTTAGTATGCCATAAGAAACGGTCATAAAAGTCATTTTATAGTATCCAACAAAAAGTGATAAAACAAGTTGTATAATATCGTATTCCATTAAAAATGTATAAAGGGTCATAGTATAACATGTCATGAACAAGTAATAAAAAAGTAATAGTATAGTATGTCATAAAGAATTCATAGTATATTATGCCATTAAAAAGTTGTATTGTACTAGCCATAAAAAGTCATACTTTAGTATGCCATAAAAAGTCATAGTAAAGTGTCATAAAAAGAAGATGTCAAAGAGAAAATCAAAATACCGACTCATTATTGCATAATCATGACTTGTAAAGTAATCTCATGATTGGAAAGTTGATCTCATAATTGTGATTTAGTATTTCGTAATCTTCACTTAGTTTTACCATCAGTGCTTTTACTTTTATTGTCACCGAACTTTAAAAAAAATAAATAAAAATCCCATGGTAGAAATGGGCTTCCATACCCCTGTGTGTTGATTCCCAGAAAGTCAAGCTATTTTTGAACTCTCATGGGGCACAAACAAGATGCTGTGGAGATAAATATTTCCTGAATATTTTTGCTATGACCACTCAACAATGTCAATGACAACTGAATGCACCATGGTGGTGTGCTCTGGGGATATCGGCTCATTACAAATACTGTTGGATGACCACAGTTGTGTTTGCCAGGTGGATTCTTAGTTCTTTGTTGGTGTAGACAGTCACCACCACTGTATTGCCACAGGGTCATTCCCATACATGATTTGGTATAGTACACAGCAGCGTTCTCTTTCTGCAGAATAGGTGGGACTGGCGACCAAAATCAACACAATAAAATTCATGTTGGTTTTAATGGAAAGTTTTTCTGTCACGTGGTTGAACTTGTATTGTTCTCGTAGCGACCTTTACACACTGCCAAAAAGAACAATCTCTGGGAAAGGTATTTATGTATTGTGCCTCAAACACTGAGTGGTTATGGTTAGTTATAAAAGCCGTATTATCAGAACCGTCTGATCAGTGCAATGGTTAGCTCAATCTGGGGTATTATTAGGTAAACATGCTGAACACAACCTATAACAGAGGATTGATTTCAGCATATGAATAAAAAAAATTGTGTGATTGTTTCCAAGAAACATGTTTTCTGAAAGCCAGTATTGAAAGTTTGACCCCGGATTTAGGGGGACCACACAGAAAGCAGGAATGAGATATGTGAGTGTTTGATGAGCTAGTGAACCACCAGAACCACACTCTAACATACAGTGTGTGTGTGTGTGTGTGTGCCAGTCTGAACTATGCCATCTACAAAGCTCCTGTTTACCCAGAGTTCCATAGGGTTGCGCAAAGTGACCACAGCTTTAATTGAAGCAAGATGTGCGCAGCTTGAGTAATACTTTTATAACCCTGCCCACCCAACAAAGAAAACACACACAGACACACAAATGTTTCTTTAGACTCTCACTGATGACTTGGTTCTTTAATTGCACCATTTCCCATCATGCAGTAATCACAGGTGATTAAATGGATTTCCTGCATGCAATCTATTTATAACTGTAAGAAAAAACATTCTATTTAATTTCAGCTGTCTCACACTTAGATGGTGGACAATATACAACATCAGTTGTATGTTGGACTCTCAACAGCTTCAGTTTGGGGAGTTGAATGCATTTGTTCACATTAACAGTAGTAATGACCCAGATATATTTTACCTGTCAAGGAATTAAACTGGTAAAATGAGCAAGATTTGGCGCAGAACTGTGTACAATTGTGGTTTTCGCTGAAAAGTAGCAGGAGAGGGGTACACAAGTTCAACTTTAGTCTTTGGTTTTAAAACCCTCTCGGCACACAATTGATGGGCATCCAGACAAATCTGCTTGACAGAAGAACCCAAGCAGATTCCACAGAGCTTTGTTTTCAAAGTTGTGGTGAATTGGCATATTTTTGAGCTAGACCTCTGACTGATATTCCAGGAAAGGCTCTCGGATGGGGAACACTGAGACACACTTACTGTGATTGTGTTTGTCTGCCTTTGCAACTTTATAGGGATATGTGTGCTTTTCAGTGCGTGTGTGTGTGTTAAAGTGTTTGCTAGAGCCTGTTTGCTTACATTTACTGTGATTGTGTGTGTGTGTGTGTGTGTGCACATGTGTGAACCGGCAAGAGCTGTGAGTCACTGAGGGTCGGCTTGTCCTGTCAGCTGGAAACTCAGACAGGAGGCTGGATAAAATAGGAACCAGAGGCTTAATGGGGTGAAAGATGGCTTACAAAACAAAAGCACACATTTTATTTCCTAATTCACCTGGTTGGCTGGAATGCATGTACAAACAGTAGATGAACAATAGTAGATCAGCGCAAGTTTGTATGTTTAATGCACTGTACTGGACGGAAATAAAGGTTAGAGAGAGTTGAACAGCATTTCAATTTGCATTTATTCAGGCATGTCTGTAAAACCTTAAACCCTTGACAAATTAGTTGTTTTCAAAGGTCTTGAGTTTCTCACGCTGAGAAGTGCTGGACACTGAAGGCAGAAAGGATATGGTATGGTGGTCTTTGTAGCTGTGGCCTCTCTGTGGTTATCCTGCATGGTCATTACACCCACTGTCCACTTGTCATCTGAGGTTAGCCAAGATATAAGCCCTTCCTCACTGACATCATCAAATAAGGTGTCATTCCACCCATCATTTTCTGTGCCAGTTGGAATGGGGAAATGTTGATTTATTTGTCATGAAACCATGACTTTTGTCACACTAGCCTACTTTTATTTTAAGGCAGAAAAAAAGTATGTACCAGGCAAATATTATCCATAAATAGTATCCCAATTCTCATCCCGTTACCACTCTTGTGCCTACGTCCTTATGTGTTTTCTACTTCTCACAATCCCCTCTTTTTCCCTACAGGTCAGGTGTCTGGGAGCCACAACACCACCTTTATCTCCAGCGGCCAGGTGATGAACTTCAGCGGCGATGTCATAGTCGTCTATGTGAGCCAGACGTCTCTCGGTAGTGATGGGGCGGGTCAGGGCGACGCCTTCAGGAGCCCTGTCCAGGAAGAGGCCAATGAGACGGCCCCGTTTTTCCAGAGCAGCATGAGGCCGCAAGGGGACTCCATTAGTCAAAGCACCTTGCAAGACGAGACACTGCCAGTCCAGGAAGTGATGGAGGAGCGGCCGCTGGGAAAGTGAAAAGTGACTACTGGCTGTTTGTTTGTCAGAAGAAGAAGTCTAAGAACATTATTGATTTCCTATACAGACAAGTACCCATGGACTGAGCTACATCTTTCCTCCGGGACAGTACATTGATCATCTCAGTAACAATCAGTTAGACAATGTAAAAAATGACCTCCGATCATTTCTGTTGGTTACTTCGCCTTAAATGCTCCCAATTACATTATAAAAAGCCTGAATAAGTCTGTGTACCATCCCTGCCTGCTGTACAAGAACAAAGAAAGGCTTTCATTTCAAATGAAGCTGAGCAGAGAGCAACTTTTAAATGATGTGGAGCTATCGATCTATGCCTACATCATTTGTTTGGATTCATTTCACACATTAGTCACCTAATCTTGCCTTGGTTATCTCCAAAGTGCCTTTATTCATTTTTTTATTGGAAAGCTACATCCTTTTTAAAAATGGAAACTCCCTCCATTCCAGACAAAGATGGGGAACTTTGTTTGGAATTAGTTGCGGAACTAGGGTTCAAACTGGAAGAACGTCATTATTGTTGTATGGAAATTGCAGCTGGGTCTTCATATAATAGCATTAGTACACCTTCCATCATTGACTAGCCCAGGTTAAACTCTGTACACTCCTGTTTTTAACAGTTCTAAATTTGACATTTGCATGATTTCAAGAGTGTCCTTGCATAACAAAATATCCACCATGTGGAAATAATTGTGATTGTTCTCACAAAATCAAGCCATGAAAGTAAATATTTTTATGTTAGAAATCCAATCTACACGCTACATTACTATCTGGCATTTCAGTGAGTGAATGTTCCATTTTTGGGGTTGCAGGGTTCGACAAAAGCTAATTTACAGTAAAGAGACGCATCCAGTTTTAGTACGATGCTTATTTATCCCGTATGGCGACTTTTTTTAAATTCTCTTCTTATTGCACCAAGTGCAGTGTGTGTCTAAGAAAAAAATGCTGTGCATTTGATAAGCTATTTTATTACTGGTTTGTTTTGTTTAATTATGTTTTAATGCGCAAGCCTTTATGAAGAAAAGTAAAATGTCAGCCTGTTTATATTTTGATTAATTTTACAAAGTAGATTGTTTATGTATTATTTCAAAAAATACGTGATCAATGTTTGTATATATTTCAAAAGAAAATGATGTATTTGTGAATCAAGAATGATTTGAGGTGCGGCTGTGCTAAGTGCCGCCATTAACAGCAGGCTAAACGCACGTCTGAGTTATAAGGAGCTGTTCAATTACAACCTTGCCATATGTTTGCAGCCGTACGATTATTATGTACATATCAATCAAACCTATTGCAATGAATGACTGAACAAATATTTTGATTGAAATTAAATGCGTTTTTCATCTAATCCTCCGAGGGATGGCTGCTTTCCTACATTCTGCGGTTTCTCTCTGTCAACTTTCCTATTCTGGTTTCGTCAAATTACAATGAACGAGTCATTTCTCCCCTCAAGATGATCTATAATCTTTGTGAAGCAATGCTAATTAAACATGTGGCAAGGCCTCTCTGTCTTTGTCCCCATGTTGACAGACAGACAGACAGGCAGCCTTTCATCAAGCCTGTGGATGGTGAGCAGCTGTGAGGGGAAACCAAGCTAGCAGTCAGACCAGCCAGCGTCACAGAGAGACCACATGAGAGAAGCTGGCAGCACTCATTTAGGCCTGGTTTGGGTCAGCAGGAGTATGTTTATATGTGTGTGTTTGTGTGCGTGCGTGTGTGTGTGTGTGTAAGTGTGCATCTCGTCTCAGCTTATTTTATGTTTTTTTTGTGAAAACAGGAAGTTATGACTAGCTTTCACATGGTTTACATGAGGCCTGGCGTCCCGGCCAACACAGAACCTGACTGTAAATGATTTTAGCTTTCTTTTTTCTTTTTTTTTTCTGCCTTCCATGTGTGAGAAAACAGTCCCTCTTTGACTGAAGATATGCAGTAAGTCCTTAACCACTGCATGTTGCTACAGTCTGCCCCCTAGTGGTGACTGTATGTCAGGATGACAAAAAGACAAAAATCGTGAATTTGAAAAGTAGCGCAAGGGAAGCAATGCCTCTGTTTATCACATTTTTAGCAGCATGTCCTACATTGACTAAATATAGTCTGTGGTCTTATTACTACAATACAAAGACATGACCCATTTACCAACACACACACGCATACAAACACAATTTGGAAATGCTAATGAAAATATAGGCCCCTGAAGAAGAAGGGGGTGGGGGGGGGGGGGAAGGATCAAATAAACTGTCATGGTTACCTCAATCATCAATTAGGATAACACGCTCACACTTAGGTGGTAACGTAGACCTTCCTGTGGAAAGCACCAGAAAATCCACAGTGGTCTAATGCTGACAGGATCACCTGTATATCTAGGTTTTCAATTTCACCTGCAATCACTCTTCTGCACATGACACTTAGATTTATTTCACCAATGGTCATTTTTCACCCAGCAGATGCAGTTTCTGGTTACTTCACAGCTAATGATTTGGCATACGGGACATATGAGGAGCTTAAAAGGGTCAAATCAAACCACCACAAAGAATATAAGGTTGTTTCACTTAGCAACACTTGGACCAGCAGATACAACCTTAAATACTGCTTACATGGCATCCCAACAATCTGCTGAGTTCAAGGTTGTGAAGTTCAATTTAGAAATGGCAAGCATTATAACACTGTAGCTAAAAACTCAGTAGTTCTCTGTTACTCAGGCTTATTGAAATTTCGCAGAACATGCCATGTGATTGCTCACAACGAACCCTGTTAAAAGTTCTGTCGAATTGATTTGTCACAGTAACAGGCTTTTAACAAGTCATGAGACTTTTCATGTAATTATGAATTCCCAGTGCACTCTAAAGCTAGGCTTACATCCCAGTTCTCTGTCGTCTTGGGACAACATCGTTGGAAAGGAGACGTTTCAATTTAAGGAGGCATAACATTAGTTTGTGTCACCAACTACAGAAATGGAAGCAATCAGGTAAGAAACTTCTCATACAAGAAGATAAATAGAATTCACAAAAAATATATATGTTCACTATTACATTAATTTAAGCCAATTAAGATGGGTGAAGATGTTGCTTCAGGTCAGTTCAGAAATGCCAAATGAAGTTGCCAAGTCAGCTGTGACTTTTAACTTAATTTTGTCCAATGGTCGTTGTTTATGGCATTCACTGTTTTGCCTTAGGTGAACCTCACCCACCTTGTAATTTAGTCACTGTAAGTTCAAACAAACATGTCACATAAACAATCATTTAAGCCCTCCACTTGTCTTACAAGGTTTTTTTTTAACTATCTTGATTGTAAATATTGGATTTAACCATAACATTTGGTGTCAAGATTTTCCTTCATTTATCATTAATACCTTCATGCCCCACTCCTCAGGTCTCTAATTATTCCCAAGTGGTCCTCAGATGTGCGACTGGAAGGGAAGACAGCCATAGTAACGGGGTCCAATGTTGGAATAGGCAAGGAGACAGCGAAAGACCTGGCAGGCAGAGGCAAGCAAGCAGAACCGCACATTTAAAGACAGACAAATGAGTACCGTGATGACTTACAGGCTCTTTGTAGTATTCTCTCTTGCTGTGTGACTGAGAGTACCTGTGTGGAAATTGTTTACAGTTTAACAAGCATGCAAGTATAACAAATATGAGGTGGCTAAAGCATTGAACTGCCAAATTACATTAAATAAATAATGCTCACAAGCATATGAACAAATACTGGTTTCAATAAATCAGTATTTAAATAAATGCCTGCCATGTATAGATATATAAACGCTGAGACAAAAATAAATGTTTAAAAGGAAACTTTTAAACCTTACTTTGTTCAAATTTCGACATGCATGTACATGCAAGCACACAGTCATCATTAAGTGGTGTCAATCTCCGTAGGTGCTCGGGTGATTTTGGCATGCAGAGACATGGCAAAAGGAGAGCAGGCTGCTCGTGACATCATGAGGGTGGTAAAGGGAGCCAAAGTAGTCGCCAGGCAACTGGATCTGGCTGACACCAAATCTATCTGCCAGTTTGCTGAGAATATCTACAGCAGTGGGTGGCACGCACACACACACGCACACACACACAACTGGAATACAGTTTTTCATAAATACTGTAATGGAGTTAACATATATTTTGTTTTCCAGATGAGAAGACTCTTCACTATCTGATCAACAATGCAGGTGTGGCTATGTGCCCTTACACCACCACAGTGGATGGATATGAGATGCAGTTTGGAGTCAATCACTTGGGTATGAGATTACGATACACCAGTTTGTTATATTCATTGATTCAAATAAATCTACTAACTATTTTTGTGGGCCCCTGGCCAGTGGCCGTCACCACTTTTCATTGTAGCAATGAAGTATTAGCATGCAGCAATAGCACAAATTACCAACCAGCTCATTTTGTGGCTCTGTTTCCATCACTCAATGGATGACCAGTGAGCCAATCTCTAAATCCTTTGTGTATTTTTTTTTTTTACCTTGCTCCTTCTGCGTCTTATTTTACCTCGCCATAAACTCCTCTTCTGTCTCTCTACTTTCACTTGATTGTTCCCTCTTCAGGTCATTTCTTCCTGACCTTTCTGTTACTGGACTTGCTGAAGCACTCGGCCCCATCCCGGGTCATCAACTTGACCTCGTTAGCTCACACTATGGGAAAGATCCAGTTTGATAACCTGAGCGGCGAGAAAGACTACCACCCTGTCAGGGCCTACGCACAGAGCAAGCTGGCCAACATCCTGTTTACCAGAGAGCTGGCCAAAAGGATTGAGGGTAGGGTGTGTGTCTGTGAGAGGCAGAGAGAGGGCAATGTTATGCACCATGTATGTTTGTCTTTATGTATCTTTCTGTGGCTCTCTGTCTCTTTCACTTTTCGTAAAAAATGGATCAGAATCTCTAGCCGGTGTGAGAGTCTCGTGCCTCAACCACAGCCACTCTGGGCAAGAAGAGCAAGGAGAAACTTGTTTAGAGGAACACACTGGTCTTAAGGAATGAATCATTGCATCACACCTTGTTTGTCAGTCTCACCATTCATTTAATCATTTCTACAGTCATGATAATGAGTGAAGAATGACTACAGTAGCAGGATTCTGATATCAAGCTCACGCATTTATCATTACGTCCTTGCAACATGTCAGTTGTGTTTGACTACTATTAGGTTGCTTTTGAAGGTTTTCTTCATTTCAGGTTGACCAAAACACTACAGTGGGATAGAAAAGCAAAGTGTGTTTTGGGAAGGGGGCATCCACATCAACCCATTTGAAATAAATTCTGTACCTAAATGCATCCCCTTGGTAACAGCTCTAGGTGTGATGGCTTACTCTGTGGACCCCGGCATGGTGAACACTGAAATCACAAGGCACCTAGGGCGCCCTCTTGTGAGCATATCCAAGAAGCTTGCTTGCATGCTCAAGACCCCAGCAGAGGGAGCCTACACCACCATCTACTGTGCCGTCACTCCTGAGCACCAGCTGGTCACCGGAGGATATTACAAGTCAGTCTGAAATGCTGTTGCTCTAGCAGCAATACTTGAGATCAATCAATTCAAATCAGCCTAACCAAGCCATTTATCAAACCTCCTAAGAGGTGAAAGAAGACGCCAGGCAGCATCACAACACACACATGTAAACAACCGGAGGCCATTGTTTCTTTGATGGTGCAAAATGTTGGATATTGTAATTGTCATTAACATATTTAGTCACAACGTTAATAGTATTTCCTATACCTGCTTAGATTTGTGGGCCAGCAGGAACCTTGACAGAACTCCTGAACACACCACCAACAGTCTTATTATAAGGTGCTAGATGCAGACATATGTCAATCAGCTACATGACAGCTATCTAAAAGCAATCACAGCTACCAAAAGGCCAGTCACTGAATGTACAAAATGTACTTATCTCACAGGATTTCCCTCCTTAATTCTGTAACAATTACAAAGGACTATTTTGAAATGCCATACCCAGGTAAACACAGGTAAACACAAAATGGTTGCTGTGAAAAGGGCCTTTAGAGGATTAGATAAAGAGAAACAGGGTGTTTAAAAAGGTATTTTAAAACTTTAAGACAACCAAAAAGCTGTATACGTGCAAAAGAGGTCATTACTCTGTCTTTCCTTTTCTTACAGGGACTGTGCCAGTGCAGAGAGCTCCAGAGCAGGTCAGGATGATGGCACCGCCTTAAAGCTGTGGGCTGTGAGCTGCCAACAGCTAGGCATCCGCTGGAGATAAACCTATACATCTAACTATGCTCTTCTACATGCTATGAGGCCACTATACATGAGCACGCAGTGTTACCTTTCAATATTAAACTAATGCTATAGATTTGCTGAAAATGGATACTAATACAAGCCCAATCTATACTGTAAAAGAGTTTGATTGGTAAAACTCAGACAATTAAGGCTGAGAATGCTAATAGGTTGGAGAAAGCAAATTTCATAGCTGTTGCTAATAAAAAACATCACTGCTATTCAAATCCGCCAATGGTTGTTGTGTGTTATGTTTGAATCGGCAAGCTAGGATGTCGGCATGCAGCAGGCTTATTCTAAATGTTCACTGTTGCGTCAGGAACCCCTCCTACGAGTGAGTTATTGAACATATAACAGATTATGCGTGGGTGTTTTGGGGTGAAATCCTCATGACTAGGATAAGGTCTCACTAACCCAGTCCAGGACCTCACGTGGCCAGAAGTTGCAATATAACACCACGATGACCGCATTAAGTGGGTTACCTATGGGGACTGCTTTATGTTTGCACTTTCTATAAGCTTACTGGTGTCACTGGTGAAAAAAACTAAATTCTTTCGGCGGAATAGATTTCCCACCAGTCTCCGGTGACAGCCCGGTCCGTAACTTGAGCCCCTCTGTCAGCAGCGGCCGGCTGTTTCACAGTCTTTCACAACTTGCTAATCAATTACGCGTCAGCGCGCTCCTGATTGGCCCAGCCGCGTTATTTGTCACGAAGCAACGCGGCGGGGGTGGGCAGAGATGACACGGTAGGAGGACTGAATTCAGGAGGTAAATTCATTTCTTGCTGAAGTGGCTCACTGGTCCTGAGCTGGGAATCTGTTGCAGAATGAAATGCAGGTAGGAAAACATGCATAACGTCAGGTTGGTGGCTTCGTTATTAGCAGGAACGTTAGTCATTTTATTAAGGTCATTAGATTACACCGTGCCGGCAGATTTGGATCTGATTAAACGTGTAATTTGCGTCGATCCGGAGCGTATTTCTTTGCTTGTAAATCATTAGTATGCATTAGTCATTAGTAAATGAAAAGCAGTTGAGGAAACCAGTCTGATTCCTTTTTGCTCACTGTGAAACAGTTACTGAGTTTAAACTGAATATGTTCTTTTATTCTTATAGTGTATAGTCAGGTTTTTTCATGTCATAATCATATTCAGGGGGTGTAAATACAGATTGCCTATATAGGATTTAGAAAACATAGATAACATATGTGCTTAAATGTAACAAAAGTCAATCAGTCCCTGTAATCATCAAATTATGGATCATGTTTCGCATGATTGATTTTCCTGTTAACATATTCCCTTCCCTTCTCTTCGCTTCACTTCTATGGAAAATTCCACAAAGGATCAAGTTCCTGAATGACTGTGTGACAAAGTGCATTACTGACAGCAGCAGCAGTGGCGATTGGAAGTAGTACTTATGATGAAGGTGTCTGTGATTGTTGTGTGTTGTTCAGGAGTGTGTGCTGTCACCGCTGGTCATCTGAGGAGAGGTTGGATGGGAAAACGGTCATCATCACCGGAGCCAACACTGGTATTGGAAAAGAAACGGCCAGGGACCTGGCGAGAAGAGGTAGCCTACTGCTCAGGCTTGTCTGTCTCTCCCCCATCTGCCTCAGTCTATTTCTGGCTCGCTCACATTATTGTGTACCTGCTTCTTTGGATTTTATCTTCCATTTTCACTGACTACCAAACTGTGCTTTACACATTCCACTCTTTTCCCTGGAATTAAGCACCTCCAATGCTTTCGGTTGTTTAAAGCTATAAAGCGTGATCTTTGACTGTGCCCTCTGTCCTCACGACCTCCACCAAAGAATCAGGTTTAATCCTACTTGTGTGGTTATTCAATGTGCTTCTGCTGTTTATGTTTTGGTGGGACTATGAGGCTGTATCAACTGATTTTGTGAGTTCAGAATACCTTACCTTCTTGCATATTCCAAGACCGAAATGAAGGGCAGATGGAAAAGAGATATCCAAAATGTACATCTTGCGTCACACTTCACCAATCCAAATGAAAGAAAGGCGAATAGCAGTGATGGAAGACAGACGATACATTTAGGGGACAGAGGGAGCATTGTGAAAGTCTGCTCCCCTCTGGAGCCAGACGGGCAACAAAGAGAGATTGCACGCACGCACGCACGCACGCACGCACGCACGCACGCACGCACGCACGCACATGCAGAATGAGTAATTAAAAAGTGGTTCTGCATACGTGATTGTTTTTTTTACATTCGTTTGCACTTGAAAGGCTCTGCATGGCATCTCCCTCCTTTTTAAAAATAATAATTCTTTGGTCCTCGCTCCTGGATAATTCCCTGTCAAATTACTGGATCATTTTTCAGTAAATTGGATTATACGATGACAAAATGATTAGATTCGCGAGGATTCATATCAGAAGGTGGGTCCTTGGGGTACTGTATCAGGACAAACGCACCAAATCCCAACCCTCTTAATCATTTATTTGTTACTCATTTACCATGTAGACAAAGTAAAATGTACATATTATTGAATCTGAATACACAAAATGGGATCAGGTTTGACTTAAGTCATTATTTGCATTTTGTCCTTATTGCATACGCTGACATTATTTAAGCCTCAATAACACGGTGTATCATCTGCTGGGTGATCTTTAACTTGACTCATCATAACCTTCCATTCTCACATTTGTTTACTATTGAATTTAATTGAGTGAACTTGGCCACCAGGGAAATGAGGGAACAATTGGGTTTTCCGACATGGGAACAGCAAGGGGGAACAAAGACACTATGATGGGATACAGACGCTACGCTCCAACTGATTAATGGCTCTCCTCTCCCATAATTGGTGGGCACAGCAGCTATTTTGTGTGTTATTGTGTGTGTGTGGCGGGGGAGTTGCCTTTCTATTTGTTAGTTTGTGTGTGCATGCATGCATGTTTGTGGGTGACAGTGAGTGTGTGTGTCCTCAAAGCCCCTATTCTCTGCTCATTAAGGAGAATGCACCGTCATTTGCGTCAGACGAGAATGACACAGTTGAGAGGGTCTTGTGTTCATGAGAGTGGAGCACCTGGCTAAATGAGATGCTGAATGAGGGCCTAGAAAACATTAGAGGATGATCTCAAAAGTACAGATTTACAGTACGTACTTCCCCCTTGATTGACGTAGTTGGCTTTGTGTGTGTGTGCAAATGAGCAATGCCTTTGTAGTTTTAAGTTTGGAAACTTTTAAGCCAGATGTGTGTAGAATATTCACCTTAATATATCACTGTCAAGTTGTTCTGCAGCCGTTAGTATAATACAGAGTGCTGTAACAATAACAGTGATTTCTTGTGTAATTGTTCAGCATAAAGATGGGGGGGGGGGGGGGGGGGGGGTCGTGTTCAAATATACATGTGTTAATTTGTGTTTTCACTTATGTCTTCCGTTAGGTT